ACCTCATATATCAAGTGATCTCTTGGACTGATGTTCATTAAAACTGTATTAAAACAGGAGAACTGGCTTGGACATTTGAAACTGTCTTCTTACAACTGGATCATATAGCTTTTGAGCACTGTAATAGCCTAAGTGTCCAAATAAGTTTGAGAGTAGATCTGTTTTTTTTCAGGGTGCATCGTTCACTGCTGTGTGAACACCCTGAGGTGTTCAAGTAGGACAGACTTGTTTCTTTGTTTGGAGGGTAGGAGCTGTGCACACCAGCATCTCTTTAAAAAGCCACTTGCACTGGCAATATGATGGTGGGAGGCTTGTAGTAAATTCTGTACATTTAGTAAGTTCCATGGCCCCTGTGCATTGGGATACATGGTTATGGTGCTGGGTATGAACAGATCTGTTCTGGCTTTTAGACCTGGCTTCGGTGCAGGCCTGAGAGCATAAGGACAGCCAGTGCCTGTGGCCTGGCTGCTCTGTGGAAGTTCCATGAGAGAAAGACTTTCAACAATTCTCATGGTACAATTCTTACCTTTCACTTACAAATCAAATATCCTGCATACTTGAGGTTAGTTCTTTCAAAACCATTAGAATATGCTTTCATTTTAACAGCCTTCACCCCCCTTGTATTGCAGCAGCACCTTGTGACTAAAATGTGGCACATAAATTACTACTGATAGTGCAGGATAACGTATTTTAGAGCTCACATGTAGCCTGGTGTTTTGCTTTGGCCATACTCTGCCCTTCTGTTCATCAGTGTCATTTGCTTTGGCAGCTGAGACAAACCCTGCAGCATCTGAGCCCAGCTTTGGCCTTCCCTGCCAGTGGCAACAAGGAGCTCCTGCTGGTCTGAGCAGGTGCTGAGTCCTGGAGCACCAACAAGTGTTTTTGGGGAGCTCTGACTGCAGGGACTGCTCCCAGCAGAGCTGCCTGGACTGGGGAGCAGCAGGGACAGCCTGGCAGGAGTGGGGCTGCCTGGGATCAGGTGGAGCTTTCAGGCTGGGATTTGGTGGCAGCAATGGGATGGGCTGATAACTGCATTCCAAGCTGCCTGTTTGTTCCCAGGAGACCCCAGCTGATGACTGGTGCTGGAGGTCAGGTTTGACATCAGAGTGATGTAGGAGCTTGGAGCAGAGAGAGTTGAATGTGTGTGTACCTCATTATGAGGCAAAACTGCAAAAAAAAACTGATTTCTATTATGTCCTCTTGGATTTAACTTACCACATTCCTCCTAAGCTAAAATAGGAAACAGCTGAGTAAAAATTGACATGACTTTTTTTATGGAGATGATGAGCAGCAGAAGCTTCAGGCTCTGTATAGGAGGTAAAACTGTCAAACAGTGTTTCTATTTTTGAGAACTAGGACACTTGTGCTGCTACTCTGAAACATTTTCTGATATTTTCTTTCCTAAATTAGCATTCCTCTATACTTCCCGTGCACTAGCACGCTTCTAAAATGTTAGTCAAATGTGTAGACTGCTGATGTCTTTTGAGAATGAGGGGAGGGAACTCCAACCCTTTTAAGAAGTCTGGGACTGGATAAGAGAGAATGCAAGAGAAAGTGAGAAAATTTTTGTTTTGCCTAAATCTGATGGGAAATCAGGAATTCTGCAGGATTTTTGGTTTTGTCCTTTAAGCTTTGCTACCAATCCTGACGTAATTCGTCTTAATTTGTTCAGGGGTTAATAAGCTATATTGGGAGATAATAGTCTCTGAATTAGTATAATTAAATCCTTTTTCCTTCCTCTCTCTAATAGAATTTTTAAAATTCACTAGCCCTTGATGCCTTAAACCCTGTAAAGAGTTACCATTTTTAGGTGATGCTCTGTGAGCAATCCCATTGATGTCACTGAGTATGGAATAAGCCTATTACCAGAGGGCAGAATTTGAAGTAGCTTTTTTCAAAACGATACCTGAATTTAAAAATAACCAACAACCTTCCTCTCTGTTTGTCAAAGTCAATCTAAGGGAATTTTTCACTGTTCTCTCCTCTTCTCCAGCTTCTACAGAAAGTCATTTTCATGGAAGGTAGGTAAAGATTAATTACTAGACCCTTTGTAGCTTAATTATCAGTAAGGTGATGAAACTACTGCTGTCTGAAGTGATCACAAAGATTCCATTCACTTTACCAGGACTGCGCCTGTTTCCATTCATAAATTAACAGTTAAATGGAAATGGCACACATACTGTTGCTGCAATATTATGAGCTACTCCTGTTGGTTAATTTTGTTTTGGGAGTATTTCTGAGCCACTCGAGGATTTCCCAAGTCCTTACACTTGCAAGGCTTACTGCACTGTGGTTCCGTGCTTGTTCTGTGCTTGTGCCCCTTGCACAAGTTCCTCGTTAGCTCCTTCGAGGAGGAAACTAAATTTTAAACAGTGCACCTCTGCTTGGACTGATAGTGCAGATAAAGCTGATAGGAAGGGAGGGACTCGTGTCGGGAAAACGGACCAGCTCTGCAGCACAGTCCTGGAGGACACGCAGGAGGTCTCGGCCAAAAGACTGGGTGGGTTGTTCTTCCTCCCTTGCCTATCATTTGGTCTCATAATACAATCCCTAAGTAATTGCACTAAACAATAGAAGAGAGAGGGGGAAATGATGTGCCTTTTAAATTCATTAAGATGAAATATTCACTGTTACTCCACAGAATTCATTTCCATGGTTAAATCTGTACAGATGGAAATGCAACAGTGAAGAGCCCAACCATAGTTAAGCTTAAAAGTACAGTTTACTCCCAGCACAAATATTTGTCTATGAAGAGCTTTTCCATTTATGCCCTTTTTAAAAAATGATGCTGACATAACTTGGAACTCTTGAATTCTAAGCAATTTTATTGTGCTGAGAAGGTTTCCTTTTGTTTTAATCACAAAAACAGCTACACAATTTGAGGCTGGGTCAATCTCATATTTTGGAGAGATCTTAACCTCTCACTTCCATGCAAAAGCACAGCATGATTGTCAGACTACGGTTTCCAGTTCTGTGAGAACCAGTGCTGAGGGAGCAGAGCATAAACGGGGTGATTTCCTTTCCAGGGCACAGCTCCTGACCGAGTGCCAGCTCCCTGCCTTGTTGCAGACCCTTGTGGTGCTGCTGGGGTGGATTTGCAAAGGTTTGAAGCCTTTTCCCCTCAGAGCTGGGGCCGAGGAGCGACCCTGGGGAGACCGAGGGCCTCATCCCAGCCTGCAGCATCCTCCTGGGGGAACAGGCACTGATCTCTGCCCGCCCTGGGTAGCGACAGAGCGAGGGCAGGGTATGGTTTGTGCCAGGGGAGGCTCAGGTGGGCATCAGGCTCTTCCCCAGAGGGTGCTGGGCACTGCCCAGGCTCCCCAGGACATGGCATGGCCCGTGGCTGCCGGAGCTCCAGGGATGCTCAGGGAGGGATTTTGGGCTGTGTAGGCTGGGTGTTTTTGCTGTTTTTTCGGTGTTGGGGTTTTTTTTGGGGTTTTTGTTTGTTTGTTTGTTTGTTTGGTGGTTGGTTGGTTGGTTGGGGTTTTTTCTGGGGTTTTTTTTGCTGGTGCTTTGCTGGCATTTCGCTGTGTTCTGCTGGTGTTTTGTTGGTGCTTTGCTGTGTTTCACTGTGTTTCTCTGCCATTTCGCTGCGTTTCGTTGCGTTTTGCTGGCATTTCGCTGGAGTTTTGCTGCGTTTTGCTGCGTTTTGCTGCATTTGGCTGGCGTTTCGCTGGGTTTCGCT